CAGGCTGCCCAGAGAGGTGGGGGAGTCTCCCACTCTGGAGCCATTCCAAACCCGCCTGGACGCCGTCCTGTGCCACTGCTGGAGGTGCCCCTGCTCTGGCAGGAGGTGGCACTGGGGGAGCCCCAGAGGGCCCTTCCCACCCCTATTATTCTATGATAAGGCACATTACATTGAGACAGAATCACAGAATGGTCAGGGTTGGAAGGGACCTCTGGAGATCATCCAGTCCAACGAAACGTTTTAGGTCAAGTACATTGACATTGTCTCCCAGTTTTAGTGACAGCTGAACCTGGTCTTTTCATGGAGCAGTAACGGTGTCGGGTGTACTCTGAGTTGCTATTCATAGTATTGTTTACCATGTGTTAATGACTTCACTTACCGTTGTCCTTTGCGAACACAAAAAATAGATTTCTTCTCCAAAGAAATTGTACTCTGACACAAACGGGTTGAAAATGATAAGCGTCATTTGACATAGCAACACCTTTTCAAAGAGAATTGTTGTGCCACCTTAGTGAGGGTGAGCTGAGACGATGGGGACCATCCCTGGAAACTTCAGCCGCTGTGAAGATGTCCATAGGCCACGAGGTGTGGCTTGTTCGGAGACGTGGCTTGGCTCAGTGCTTTCTAATTTTTCACCTCGTAACAAGTAATATTGATTATCCTCATGTCTTCTAGTTACCTATCACAAAAAAAAAAAAAAAGGGTTTTTTCTGATGTGGTTTTCGTACAGGATAGACTTATTCTGCCACATACAATAGCAAATTCAATTTTTTGTTTCATACGTCGTTAGGAGCAGCTGGAAGCTGTCCGAAGACAAGGCAGCTCTACTGCTGGTTTTGTGGTGGAGGTGGTGGAAAATTATTTCACTTAATAGTTAATGGAAGGTACATTTCAGCCAGAGCGTTCCCCTCGCTTGAGATATTTTACCCAACATAATTGGTTTCTGCTTGTGCTAACAGAAGTTAAAAGTGAAATCCGTTTCAAATGAAGTAGGCGTAGAGTGACCTTTTCTTACGGATCTCCGGGCCTCAAGCCGTAAGCCGGGTTTGACCTTCAGAACAGTATTTGTTCAAAGATGCAGGGTTGAAAGTCCTTTTCGATCTTCCCTGCGGCAAAGGGCCAAGCCCAAATTCAAAGCTGGCACTCGAGCGAGGGCCGTGATTTGGAGCTTAAGCCTTGAGAAGGACGTGGGATGGCCTCTGTGCGAGGAAGTGGATTCACCCGCGGGCCGTAGGCACCATCAAACAAAATGCAAAGACCACGAAGCGTCAAGAGATTCCCGATGAAAGTGCTTATGGTTCCAGCCCTCTAAGGACCAGGGCTTCTTGAGCTGGAGCCGAGATGACATACGTAGTACCTTGTTTCACAGAATAGCTGCTCTGTTGTCGTGGTTTAGGCCTGGAAAGGTTTTATAGTCCGCATTCACGTTGGATGATGTTTTTCTAATTAATTCTCTTCATTTCCTTTCTTTTTCTTTTGATGTCTCTCCAGGGTGGCAGCAACTTACGGATTCTGGGCTTGGTAAAGTCAGATGAAGGTTTTTATCAGTGTGTAGCGGAAAATGAAGCTGGAAACGCACAGGCCAGTGCACAGCTAATCATCCCAGAGCCTGGTAAGATACAAAGGACGTACAGAATTGTAGATGTAATTAATGCTATTAACATAAAAATCCCAAATGAGCAGCTACTATTCTTTATTCCCTCTTACTTTTCCAGCTGGCTGGCTGTAGTTAAAGCTTGTCCAGGCTATGAGATAGTTGGAGGCATTTTGTTCGCTGGGGCAGTTATAAATACTGGTCTTGTCCTGGAGATGACTGGAGGCCAACTAGAGCCTGCAGGAGAAGCCAACGGCAATGCCTTACGGTCTCTTGGTGGGCTTTATCCTGCTGA